AATTGCAAGCAAGATGGCAATTGCAAGTCCCTATCAATAATTACTTAAATATAAATGTATTAAATTCTGTAATCAAGAGACACAGAATGGCTGAGTGGATAAAAAGAAAAATCAAGATCCAACTAGGTGCTGCAGAGAGGAGATTCACTTCATCTTCAGGGACACACATAGGCTCAAAGTGAAGACATGGAAAAGGATATTCCATGCAAATGAAAACTAAAAGACAGCACAGGTAACTATGCTTGTATCAGACAAAACAGACCTTAATTCAAAAAGTTTAACAGCAAAGAAGTTAATTATGTAATAGTAAACAGTTCATTCATTAAGTGGATATAATAACTGTAAATATATATGCACCCAACATTGGAGAACCTAAATGTATTAGGCAAATAGTAACAGACTGAAGAGAGTAATAGACAACAATACAATAATAGAAGGGGACTTCAACCCTACTTTCAACAGTGAATAGAAAATCCAGAGAGAAAATCAGTAACAAAACATTGGACTTGAACTATACACATGGAATGTGTATACACAAGTGTACATGGAATGTTCTCCAGGATAGATAATATGTTAGGTCATAAAACAAGTTTCAACAAATTCAAAAAGATTGAAATCACACCAAGTACCTTTTCTAAACACAAAGCTATCGACTAGAAATCAATAACAGAAAACTGAAAAGTTCAAAAACATGTGGAAGTTAAACATATAATCTAAAATAACCAAAGACGAAAACAAAAGGGAAATTTGAAAAAATACCTTGAAACAGAGGAAAATAAAAACACAACATACCAAAACTAAGGGATGCAGCAAAAGCAGTGCTAAGAGGGAACTTTATAGTGAGTAATGCCTGCATTAGAAAAAAGATCTCAAATAAACAATCTAACTTTTCAACTCTAAGAACTAGAAAAAGAACAAACTAAACCCAAAGTTAGCAAAAGGAAGGAGATAAAGAACAGAGTGAATATGTAAAATACAGAAACAATGGAGAATCAATGAAACCAAGAGTCAATTTTTTTGAAAGATAAAACTGACAAACGTTTATGCAGACTTAACAAGGAAAAAAGGAAGAGGACTCAAATTAATTAAAAATGATAGAGGAGGGCTTCCCTGGTGGCACAGTGGTTGAGAGTCCGCCTGCCGATGCAGGGGACATGGGTTCGTGCCCCAGTCCGGGAAGATCCCACATGCCGCAGAGTGGCTAGGCCCATGAGCCATGGCCGCTGAGCCTGTGCGTCCAGAGCCTGTGCTCCACAACGGGAGAGGCCACAACAGTGACAGGCCCGTGTACCGCAAAAAAATAATAATAAAAATAAATAAAACTCATATGGAAATGCAAAGGATTCAGAATAGCAAGAAGAAATTTGAAAAAGAAGTACAAAGTTGAAGGACTGCATTACACGATTTCAAGACATATTATAAAATTATATTAAGACTAAGATATTTGCAAAAATATAGATGAAAAAAGTACAGAAAAAGAGTAGCACATATAAGAGCAACTGATTTTTGAGAAATGTGTAAAGGCAATTTAGTGGAGAAAAGATAGTTCTTTCAACAAATGTTGTGAAGCAACTGAATATCATTTTTTTTTAAAGAACTCTGACTCCAAACCTTACACAGTCCATTATAATTGACTCAAAATGGATTATAAACCTAAAACTGAAAACCTCCATTAGGGAGCATAAGAGAGAATCTTCTTACTATGGGTTAGACAAAGACTTTTTACATACAATCCAAACACATGTTCAATAAAATGAAAAAAACAATATATTGGACTTTATTTTATCAACATTACAATTTTCTGCCATAGGAAAACTGTTAAGAGAATGAAAAACCAAGCCACAGGCTAGAAAACTGTACTGGCAAATTTCATACTTAATTAAGGACTTGAATCTAGAATTTAAGAAATCTGAAAAATCAGTAATACATCAGAAAAAGATTTTAATAGGCAAAAGATCTGAACAAACACTTAACCAAAGAAAACAGAGGGATGGTAGTAAGCACATGTAAAAATTCTAAACACTGGCCATTAGGGAAATACAAAATAAAGTCACAGAGAAATACCACTACACACCTAAGGAAAATGGCTACAATCAAAAACACTGACCACACCAAGTGCTGGTAAGAATATAGAGCAAATAAAACTCTCATACACTGCGGGTGGGAATGTAAAATGGTATAACCACCTTGGAACAGTTTGTCAGTTTATAAAAAGATATACATCCACTTACTCTTTGACTCAGTGTATTTATCATGTTCTTTATTTTCTGTATTTTTTGATGTTTTGACATCTTAAAAAGCTTGCTGGAGAGACCACCCCTCCCAGGACTATCCCATTCTTGAGACAGCAAAGGGTTTAGCCAGAAGTATGTCTCTAATGTACAAACCAACTGATCCAAATCTATAGCCCCAACCACCAAGTCACACACAAAGCCAATATTTCCCCTGCCCTAAATCAACACAAGGCCAGGTACCAGACAATCTGAGACCAGTTCTCTAGTCCAAAACCTGCTGTCATTATTCAAACTAGCCAATCCTAAGCTGTTTACTCTGCCTTGCTCCTCCCACAAAAACCCCAATAAAGGCTGTGGCCTCTGCCTTCCCCTCACTCTTTTCTGCCTCCTGACCAACAGTGGTGATCTCCATGTAGCCCTATGTGTCCTTTCCCTTGGGAAATGTAATAAAATCTTTCAATGGTATTAACATCTCTGTGTTAGCACTCAGTCACTGCATAAGTTAAAATGCTGTGGTCACAAATGAGACATTCAAGCCTTTTACTCCTAAGTATTGGAACATGAACAAAAAAAAGAACAAAGAGCATCACTCATCATCCAGGTACACAGGGGTTAAGCCACAACCCACTGCAGTCACCACCAGCAGTGTACCTTGAGGGGAATTCAGGATGAAAAAACAGGATGAGTCACTCTGTGCTTTGGATAAGTGGTCCCTTAGATAATTAGATGCATATCTCAGGAAGAACTTTAGTGACCCCAGATTCTTGCATCTTCTCATACATAGAAAAGCACTAAAATCATTAACTTGAGATATCTGTTCTTTGTGATTAGCAGTAATCTTTTACCAAGAAGTATGCTTGACTACATGTATTTCCTAGCCAAAAAATTCGTATATATACTGGCTCCTCCCCTACGTTTTTGGAGCAGTTCCTCAGAGCTGTCTCCTGGGCTACAGTCCTCAGTAAGACCCTGAATAAAACTTAAACTCACAACTCTTATGTTGTGTTTTTCTTTAAGTTGACAACCCAAGAGAAAGCCTAGTACATGAATGTCCATAGCAGCTTTATTTGCAGTAACTCCAAACTAGTATCAATCCAAATGTCCATTAAAAGATTAATAGAAAAACAAATTGTGATATATCCATCAAGTAAATACTACTCTCTAATGAGGCAAATAAAGTACCCATACATGCAACATGGAGAAATCTGAAAATAATTATGATATGTGGAGGAAAAAAAGGCAAAAAAGAGTAAACATCTTGTTATTCCATTTATACAAAATTCTAGAATTGGAAGTTTTTAGTGAAAGACATGAGAATGGGGAGCTAGGGCGGGAGGACAGGAGGGATTATAAAGGAGGATAAGGTAACTTGGAGGGTGATGAATTTGTTAAATATCATTAAACCATATATGTATAATGCCCATACATGACAAAACATCACATTTTACACTTTAAATATACACAGTTTACTGCCCATCAATTATATCTCAATCCAGCTTTCAAAAAATCTGGATCTCCTGTTTCTCTTGAAGAACTGGAATATTTGACAAACATATTGACTTGACCATAACTATTCTCAGCCCTCTGGTGGGACACCCCTACTTCAATGGAAGGAAAGAATAGCAAGCAATAAAGACTGTGAGTCACAAAAGTCACATTCTTGGACTACAATATCTCTCTTCTCTCAGTCTCCATTTTCTTGCCTGTCTAACAGTGGCTTTGAGGTAAACAGCCCAAGTAGCCCCAGGAATCCAGAAAGCTTTAAGATTATTTGCTCTGCCGGTGACCCTTGTCCATAGAAGAAATGTAAATCTAGAAGTACTGAGAATATCTATACATGCTCATCCCTCACAGCTTTAGTGAGCAGAATATTTCTGGAAGCACTTCAGATGGGGTACATCCTCTTTAGCTCGCTCCCCCCAACTCTAATCACACCCAGTGTGTGAATGTAATTATGCCTCCAATGACCTTAGACCACTCATGATTTCCTCCAGAGAAGGGGAGAGTACAGAGGTCTGCCTTCCCTGGGCACACTGGGTAACCTGATGCACATTAGCCAGAAGGCAGAGGCGAGATGGCTTCTGCCACAGGTACTGGCAGTGATTTAACTCAGGCAAGGGCCTTGAGCAGGTCAAACTGCATTACAGGTCCTGAGAGCTTCCCACATAACTGGCACTCATAGGAAATCTCCCCACTGTGGACGTTCAGATGTGTGAGATACAACTTTTGGTTGATGGCTACTTTATAAAGACTACGGTCAGAACTTCTCCCTGGTGTCATTCCCGTTGACCAAGCAAACACCCTGCACTGCAGAGGCCTTTCTCCAGTTTGAACTTTCTGGTAACAAATGAGGAAAGGCCACTAGCTTAAGGCTTTTTTACAATGTGACTTCTCTGATGTTTAATGAGGCTGGACTTGTGGCTAAAGAATGTCCCACATTCACTGCATTCATAAGGCCATTCTCCAGTGTGTAGTCTCTGGTGTTGAACAAGTGTGGGTTTAAGGCAGAAGGGTTGCCCACATTCGTTGCACTCAGAAGGCTTTTTGCCAGTGTGAACTCTCTGGTGTAAAATGAGGCTGGATCTTTGGCTAAAAAAATTCCCATTTTATGCACTCGTATGGCTTTTCACCAGTGTGAACTCTCTGGTGTACAATAAGGCCAGAACTTTGGCTAAAGGATTTCCTACATTCAGTGCACTTACAAGGCCTTTCTCCAGTGTGGGTTCTTTGGTGCCAGACAAGTGTGATTTTGTGGCTAAAGAATTTTCCACATTCACTACACTTATAAAGTCTTGCCCCAGTGTGAATTCTCTGATGTTCAATAAGGCCAGAGCTTCGCCTAAAGCATTTCCCACATTCACTACATGCATAAGTCTTTCTCTAGTGTGGATTTTCTGGTGCTGGACAAGTCTGGCTAAAGGCTTTACCACATTCACTACACTCATGAGATCTTTCTCCAGTGTGAATTTTCTGATGTTGAACAAGTCTGTGTCTATAGCTGAAGGCTTTCCCACATTTGCTGCATTCATAAGGCCTTGCTCCACTGTGAACTCTCTGGTGTATAATAAGGCTGGAGTTATGGCTAAACAGTTTCCCATATTTGCTGCACTCATAGGCCTTTCTCCAGTGTAGACTCTCTGGTGTTGAACAAGTGTTTGCTGCTATAGGCTTTCCCACATTTACTGTATTCATAAGGCCTTTTTCCAGTGTGAACTTTCTTATGCCAAACAAGGTGGGAACTTCTGCTGTAGGCTTTCCCACATTCACTGCGCCCATAAGGCCTTACACCCATGTGAACTCTCTGCTGTACCATAAGTCTAGAGTTGTGCCTAAAGAATTTTCCACATTCAACGCACTGATAAGGTCTTTCTCCAGTGTTAATTCTTTGGTGTTCAACGAACTTATTTTTGTGGCTAAAGGCTTTCCCACATTCACCTATCATGCCCTTCTCCATTGCGAAAAGTCTCCCTGCATTCAGTGCTTCTAGGTGAATTCCCCTTGCTGTGAGTGTTCTGGCGCTGGAGAAGGCCCAAGCTGGGCAGGAGGTCCTTCCTACAATCCCCACACATAAAGGGATTCTCTGACATGTGGACTCTGCAATTCTTAACAAACAAAAGCCAGTCCTCAACCCTTCTGAGGTGTTTCTCTCCACTGTGCTGCTTCTGTTGCTGGTGAATGCTTACACTGAACCAGAGTTGTTTCACACATGCTGCACACGTGCAGTTTCTGCCTGGGGTATATTCCCTGCTGCTGAGACAGGTACAAAATGTCTTTCAAGACTGGGCCACACATCCCACAAGGGTAGGCCTTTTGGGTGGTTGGACCTGCCTTGGGAGTCCTGAGTTGTAACACGCCTTGAGAAAGTGCCTCCTCATCCTTCATTCAAAACCAACAATCTGAAAGCATGCAGCCTCTGGTGGGAGGGGGCAGCCCTATCACGAATGTACTTCTTACAAACCCAGGAATTAGTACATAGGACTGTTGGAAGGACAAAGGGGCTGAAGTGAGGTAAGAAAGGGTCTGCTGTGCAGTTCTGAGCCTGGCAAGATCACACAATGGGGAGGTCTACTATGGGCAAGGAAACAGGTGGGATGCAGTACAGGAAGAAGAGGCTGGGTCTCCCAATTCACTTCTCTGCAAATGGCTTTCAGCAGGGGCTTGTCTGCTAGTGACATGAGCACTGAACAAAAGGGGAAATCAACTGCAACCAAGTAGCTGGTGTTCATGTACTGCTTAGAATATGTCTACATCTCACCAATACATTATGTGTAGCTCAATGTTGGAGAGCCCTTCTGAGGGAGCGGTGGAGAGGAACAGGGGAGACCTGAAGGCCAGACAGGCATGGATTAGCCCTGGCCAGAAGTCAGATTAGAAATGATAAAGGGGCAAATTGTCAAGAATGGAGATTAAAAGATAGAAGTAAATTATGGCCCCTGACCTTGGCATGAAAACAACAATGGGCACCAGAGAGGTTCCTGGTGTGATGTGAACCCAGCCCTGACATGAAGCCATCCCTCAGGTCCCACCTCCCAAGGCCAGTCCCCCTCCAGGGCCCTCTTGCTATGGCTGGAGTCAGGCCTGCCCTGTCAGGCACCCACATCTCTCCCTGCAACTCCAGTTGGACAACTACATGGAACCTGGAAGACACAAGTCCTAAGTGAAAGACAAGGCAGGTGAGTAGACAACACTGGTGCAGAGCAACCCACCCCATGAACACAGGGAAAAAAACTAATGTTACAAAAAGAAACCTGGAGGAGTATCTCATAGGAACAGCCCAGTGGTCCCCACAAGTAGTGACCATGTTGGTGCCTGCAATTCCTGGCACAGTCAGGCATGAGGAAATTCCAGCTGGAGGGAAGGGGGCAGACCTGGGGCACAGAGTTGCAATATATCTGGACAGTCACTCTGCTAGGGTGACCAAGTCTTTGGGATCCACTGGTTTCATTGCAGACTTCCTACTCCCATATCCTTCCCTGAAAGGCTTCAGGGATGCTGAAGGGTTGCTTGGGAGAGGATGGGAAAGTACACTCAGCCAAGCCTGGCACCCACAGCACCTATGAAAGAAGACACAGGAAGGGAGCAATGTCCACAGTCTGGCTGTGAAGGAAAGAGTGGCCCCTGGAGAAACAAGGAAGGGAAGAAACCAGTCAAAGACACTCGGCTGAGTGTGAAGGACTCACCCAGTGAGGCTACAAGTGCAAAATTCTCCAACATCACATCATGGTACAGGAGCCTCTGAGTCCCTCAAGAAGCTCCCACTCCTCCTGAGACAAGTCCACAGCCACATCCTCAAAGGTTACAGTGCCCTACCATGATGGGGAAGGCAACGTCCCTGAGCAGCCTCTCTCCCCAGGACCCTCAGTTAGTCCCTCAGACATCCACTCCCTGCCCCCACTCCTCTCCAGCTCCAAAACTCAGGATATACGAGGCCCAGATGCCACTGGTGCCAGCATTCTCCTTCCTATTGATCAATGTGCCATCCCACATCCACGATAGGCATGTGGGCAAATAAATGCCATCCAAGCACTGGGTATGGCATGAAAGTCTCCACCTCCACTCTTGCCAGCAAGTTCCACAAGGGTTCCCAGATCATGCCTCCCAGACACACCAAACATGGGCTCAGTTTTCTTCCTTTAAGCTGCTGGGAGCAAGTCCCTGGGACCTTCAGTTCTCACTCTCCCCACTGAGCGCACCACTCCATTGACAACACCTCCCCCACATTTCCAACCCCCCACCAACACTGCTACCTCCTCCACCTCAGCCCACACCAAAGGCATCTCCCTGGCCTCCCCACATGCCACTCTGCACAAGGCATCTGGAAAGTGCTTGCCAAACGCAGTTACGATCCACCTGCCCAGAGCCCTGATGGCCCACGCTGGCAGGGGAAGCCCCAGCCCTGCTTTAAAGGCCTCTCCACCACGCCCTTTCCTTGCTTCAGCTTCAGCCACCTAGAACCACATGCAGGTGCCACATACTTTAAATTCTCTTTACTGCTGTGTTACACATGCTGTCCCTTCACCAGTCTCAGCCTTCCTCTTTCCAGTCAAGCCTCATTCAAAACCCAGAACCTCCCATCCCCCAGCCCAGGCCCAGCTACTCTCCCAGCTGACCCATTTGCCCCTGAGCTTATCTGCCAGCCTAAGTGAAACCCTGCAGGCCTCACCAAAGGTCACAAAACTCTAGCGTGCTTTTAGAGGGGGAGTAGGCCTCGGCCTCACTGCCATCTCACCTCCATTATTGCTATGCTCCCACATCCAGCTCATGTGCACTCCCCCTTGGAAGCCTTGGTCCCCTACCAGACCCACCTCTCCTCCACACCTACCTCCTCCCGCACGGCCGCTACTCTCCCTCATCTGCCTTTGTGATGTGCCCCAGCCCCATTCAGGTGCTCAAGAGAGAGGCCCAGTCCTCCAATCTGGCCCTCCTCTTCCTTGTCCCCTAACAACACCGTCACCATGATCTGAAGACTCCCCCTACTAAATGACTCACAGCTCCACCCCAGTCCACACACAGGCCACCAGCTTGTGGTGTCTCCAACCTGATTTCTTCCCCTGAAAACCAGACCTGTGTCCAGCTTTCCACTCAATGCCTCCACTTGGGGGGCTCTCTGCTTCTCAGACTCAACATGGCCAAAATCTAACTCCTAATATTCCCTCTTGAAAATTACATGCCTACAAGTGATTTCCTCATTCCAGTTAATGGCATCTCCTTCCTTCCAGCTGCAAAGGCCAACACTTAGACAACTCCCCTCTCTAGTCAGAAAGTTTTGTTGGACCTACTTTAAAAACAAATCCACAAATCCCCATCCACAGCCACTACCCTGATCCAGCCACCAACCTGGTCCCGCTGTCACCACACTCATCTAGAGTACTGCAAAAGCCTCCCTCACTCCTACTGTCTGCTCTCCACTCTGCAACCAGAGAAAGTCTGTTTAGACCTGATTCAGACCCTCTTCTACTCCAAAACTTCCATGGCTCCCAGTGTCCCCAGAATAGAGGCACAGTTCCTCAGCCTGCCATTTCAGGCCTGACTCCTGCACCCCGGCTCTCTGATCCCATAAGACGTAATGGAGAACTGCGGTTGCCACTCAGTCTCACCTCTAAGCATTTGCACATGGTGATTCCCGTACATTTAATACCTTCTACAGGACAGACTATTAGTGGCCAGAAACCAGGGACCCCCTCCATATAACCCCTGGCCTGGATTCAGGGTCTTGAGTCTGAGGAGAGGCCTCAGCACCAATGACAACAGTAGAGTGGCAGGCAGGGGGTCCCAGGACACATCCTGGAGACCATGAGTGGGAGATGGGGAGAGTGAGGTCCTGAGCCAATCTTTACTCACCTATACATTGCTCATGAAATGCTTCTGAAGCCATGGAAACCTGCAAGAAGAGTGAGACTATTAGTGAAGGGCATCCATGGTGGGGTCTCAAGGGCTGATCCAACGTCCTATGCCTACCCTGAAGCAAGATGACCTGACGTTAACTTCTGGGCTTCAGTCCTTGGTGCTGCCTCTTACTAGCTGTGTAACCTTAAACTAGGACTCAATCTTCCTGTGCCTCAGTGTTTTTATCTCTAAAATGGGCATAAAAATGGTACCAACCTCATAGGGCTAATGTTGGTATCATATGCCTTAGGGTATGTCAGGTGTTAAATATGAGCTATAACTACCATCCACAGAATTGAGGCTTTTGTCAATGTTTTCAGTGCAAATGACTTAATGGATTTTGAAATTTTAGATGTGTGTTATATTTACCTTTTGAGTATTTGAGAAAATGTAATATTTAAGACTTTTTAGTGTCTTAATATACTGATTTATGGTATATTCAGGTGTGAACCAAATATTAAGTGTTCGCATAAACTTGTTAAATTCACACATTTCAGTGTTGAACTGAAATGCCTACCTATACCTACACATTTGGAATACTGATCTCTCGGTGTTGAAATGAGTGGTTGTTTCATAAACTCCTAGTTAAAAATGGGGAAAGAGGGTTGAGTGGATGCTAATTTTTCTATCCTTTAAAATCTTCTCATAGGGACTTCCCTCGTGGCCCAGTGGTTAAGACTCCGCACTCCCAATGCAGGGGGCCTGGGTTCAATCCCTGGTCGGGGAAATAGATCCTGCAAACATGCCGCAACTAAGAGTTCTCATACCACAACTAAGAGCCCACATGCTACAACAAAGATCCCACGTGCCGTAACTAAGACCCAGAGCAGCCAAAATAAATTATTAAAAAAAAAAGTCTTATAATTGGATCACTTCTCCCCACTCTACAGCCACCTTTCCGGTCCAGCCTCCATGGTAATTCTGGTCTGTTTGCAGTAGCCTCCACAAGGTCACCCCATATCCACTATCCTTAACTGCCCACCCCTACCCTCTACCCCGCACGCAGTTTGATCTCTCAGCATCCTTTAGGAAACTTCTAGAATTCTAGCTCAAATCTAGTCTATCTGCTCACAACTCTCCGTGGCTACCAGTGTATTCAGAATGCAAGCCCAGCTGCTCGGGCAACTACCATTCCACATAGCGCTCATCCGCTCACAATGTTTCCATAAGGAGACTCGCCCCAGGTTTCCCGAATGCTCCTCTATCGCACCTCCATGGCTCTGCACATGTTGGTCCCTCTGCATGTAACAGTCCTCTACTCATTACACTGGGTGTCAGAAATGGGGACTCCACCCAGGAACGCTCCACTGTCTTAAAGGGGACAACCTAAAGTGACCTGGGCAAGCGCCCTTCATTCGAAGCTTTAGGGTTCGGAGGTGGGGGTCTGGGCAGGTGAAGGCCTGTGGCACAGAGCATCAACCTCTGCTGGGTCCCTCAGCACAGCCGCCAGAGAGCCTGTAGCGGAGCGAAGCCGGGAAAGTCGGGCGACAAAGCCCGGGCGCCGCGGGCTCAGCCAAACCCCTACCCCAGCCCCCGGGCGGAGTCACACCAGGCGGTGCCCTCTCCGAGCCACACACCCGCCTCTATGAGCTGCAGACACCGTCTTCTCTCGCCCCTTCCCGCTCACTTTACCTCGGGCCGGACCAAGAGCTGCATAACCGGATCAGGCCGACCGACCCATGGTCACCAAAATGACCGCCGCCGGGAGAACGCCGGAAGTCCCTCCTTGACAGGTTTCGCAAAGTATGAGAGCGTCCTTCTCCTCGGCCTTCATTGGCCCAGCGCCGCAGACGCGCAGCGCAGAGACATCTGGGTAATGTAGTTTTCACCCAGACGCGGACGCCGGCTAGGGGCGCCCTTTCCAGACCTCTCGGCAAAGGCCAAGATGCCCAGCAAGACTTTCTCGGAAGTGGTGACCCGAAGTTTCCATAAAGAGATGGGGTCTCGCTCTCGCTCCTTTCAAAGGGGCGCACGAAGATTTCCCTGGTGTGTAGTCTGCAACCGATCACAGAAATAGAGACATTGTAAGCCGCATAGCACAGGGAGATCAACTCGGTGCTTTGTGACCGCCTGGAGGGGTGGGATACGGAGGGTGGGAGGGAGGGAGACGCAAGAGGGAAGAGGTATGGGAACATATGTATATGTATAACTGATTCACTTTGTTATAAAGCAGAAACTAACACACCATTGTAAAGCAATTATACTCCAATAAAGATGTAAAAAATAATAATAAAAAAAGAAAAAAGAAAGAAAAAAAAAGAAATAGACATTGTATTATGCTTCACAAAGTTACAAAATCAAAAGACACACGAAAGCTTGTCATTTCCATACGCAGTGAATCCACTTATTATCTGGAAGCTAATAAATATTATTTCTCTTCAAATACATGTGGGCTGAAGTCGATTTTATGGGCTACAGTATATTTGGGCAGTGACAAGAGAGAAAAAGTCTAGACAAGGTCATACTGGGGAAAATGGGGGAGGGATGTTGGGTGACTGAGCAGGTGGTCAAGTATGGAACTCTGCTGCCGTTCCCACAGTAAACATCCCTGTCTATGTAGTCAGTGACTGTGTTCAACCCAGGAGCGTAACTGGAGGAGGCTGGTATCCTACCCAAATTTAGCTGCTCACTGTTGGAAAGGTGGATACTGGAGAGACAAGGGTTGCTGGAAAAGGAAAAATTGCTTTATTCAGGAGGCGGCAACCTGGGAAAATTGCACTAATGTCCTAAGACCATCTCCAAGCATCTGATTAGGAGACAAAGGTTTTGTTTTTTGGTTTGTTTATAATTTATTGAAGTATAGTTGATTTACAATGTTGTGTTAGTTTCTGGTGTACAGCAAAGTGATTCAGTTTATATATATATATATGTATATATATATGTGTGTATATATATATATATTCTTTTTCATATTCTTTTCCATTATGGCTATTACAGGATATTGAATATAGTTCCCTGTGCTATACAGTAGTACCTTGTTTTTTATCCAGTCTATACATAATAGTTTGCATCTGCTAATCCCAAACTCTGAATCGATTCCTCCCTCACCCCTGCCCGTTGGAACCACAGGTCTATTCTCTATGTTTGTGAGTCTATTTCTGTTTTGTGAATAAGTTCATTTGTGTCATATTTTAGATTCCATATATAAATAGGACTTCACTGGTGGCACAGTGGTTAAGAATCCGCCTGCCAATGCAGGGGACACGGATTCAATCCCTGGTCCAGGAAGATCCCACATGCCGTGGAGCAACTAAGCCCATGCGCCACAACTACTGAGCCTGCACTCTAGAGAGCCCATGAGCCACAACTACTGAGCCCATGTGCCACAACTACTGAAGCCCACGCACTTAGAGACCATGCTCCACAACAGGAGAAGCCACTGCAATAAGAAGCCTGTGCACCACAACGAAGAGTAGCCCCCACTCACCGCAACTAGAGAAAGTCCACGGGCAGCAACAGAGACCCAATGCAGCCAAAAATTAATTAATTAATTAATTAAAAAAATTAATAAATAAAATAAAATAAATGTTATCATATGGTCTTTGTCTTTCTGACTTACTTCACTTAGTATGAAAATCTCTAGTTCAATCCATGTTGCTGCAAATGGCATTATTTCATTATTTTTAATGGCTGAGTGGTATTCCGTTGTGTGTGTGTGTGTATATATATATATATATATATATATATATATATATATATATATATATATACTACTTCTACTTTATCCATTCATCTGTCGATGGACACTTAGGTTGCTTCCATGTCTTGGCTATTGTAAATGGTGCTGCTATGAACACTTTCGAATTATAGTTTTGTCCAGATATATGCCCAGGAGTGGAATTGCTGGATCATATGGTAATTCTATTTTTAGTTTCTTGAGGAACCTCCATAATGTTTTCCATAGTGGCTGCACCAATTTACATTTCCACCAACAGTGTAGGAGGGTTCCCTTTTCTCCACACCCTTTCCAGCACTTGTCATTTGTAGACTTTTTAATGATAGCCATTTTGACCAGTGTAAGGTGGTACCTCATTGTGGTTTTGACTTGCATTTCTTTAAGAATTAGCAATGTTGAGCATCTTTTCATGTGCCTATTGGCCATCTGTATGTCTTCTTTGGAGAGATGTCTATTTAAGTCTTCTGTCCATTTTTTGATTGGGTTGTTTGGTTTTTTGTTATTGCGTTGTAAGAGCTGTTTGTATATTTTGGAAATTAAGCCATTGTTGGTCGCATTGTTTGCAAGTATTTTCTCCCAGCCTATGGATTGTCTTTATTTTTTTAACATCTTTATTGGAGTATAATTGCTTTACAATGGTATATTAGTTTCTGCTTTATAACAAAGTGAATCAGCTATACATACACATACATCCCCATATCTCCTCCCTCTTGTGTCTCCCTCCCACCTTCCCTATCCCACCCCTCTAGGTGGTCACAAAGCACCGAGCTGATCTCCCTGTGCTATGCGGCTGCTTCCCACTAGCTGTCTCTTTTACATTTGGTCGTGTATATATGTCCATGCTCTGGGTTGTCTTTACATTTTGTTTATGGTTTCCTTTGCTGTGGAAAAGCTTATAAGTTTGATTAGGTCCCATTTGTTTATTTTTGCTTTGATTTCTATTGCCTAGTGAGACTGACCTAAGGAAACATTGGTACGATTTATGTCAGAGGATGTTTTGCCTATGTTCTCTTCTAGGAGTTTTATGGTGTCATGTCTTATGTTTAAGTTTTTAAGCCATTTTAAGTTTCTTTTTGGGTATGATGTGAGCATGTGTTCTGAATTCACTGATTTACATGTGGCTGTGCAGCATTCCCAGCACCACTTGCTGAAGAGTTTGTCTTTTCTCCATTGTATATTCTGCCCTAGGAGACAAAGTATTTATGATATCATGAACGTCATGCTGAAAGAGAGAGAAACAGAGAGACAGAGAAACCAGTTGTGACTGATGAATAATTAACCATTGGAGCAATGTTAATTAAAATGTTAATCCACATAAACCCACAGGAAAAGGCTTGGTAGATCCATCTCGATTGTTTTAATCTTTGGCCATTTTTCTCAATGCCTTTTTTTTTTTTTTTTGCGGTACGCGGGCCTGTCACTGTTGTGGCCTCTCCCGTTGTGGAGCACAGGCTCCAGACGTGCAGGCTCAGCGGCCATGGCTCACGGGCCCAGCCGCTCTGCGGCATGTGGGATCTTCCCGGACTGGGGCACGAACCCGTGTCCCCTGCATCGGCAGGCGGACTGTCAAGCACTGCGCCACCAGGGAAGCCCTCAATGCCATTTTTAAAAAATCCATTCTTTCTTCATGATTCAATAAATTGTTATTATTATATCTTACACTATCTTTGACTCTATCCATGTGTTTTCTCTTCTGTCACAATGACCACCTAAATATTTCTCCACTAAAGCTAGACTGTTTATTAGTTGGAGACATACTTCAGTTGCAATACTCGGTGAGAACAATCCTCTTCACAGTTCCTGTTTTTCAAAATTTCCTTGGTTGACTTCAAGCCTTTATTTTGGGCGGCAAATATTAAGTCAATCTTCATTCCAACAAAGATGAATTTAGATGGGTTTGGGAACAGATGACATTTCTACAATGTCAATTCATCTCATACAAGGATATGATTTAGCTCTTTATCTGTTCAAATTTTATTTTGCACTTTTCAACAAAATTTTACATCTTTTTAGGATGACCTGAACACTTAATACTAAGCCTAGCAGAGCATCCAGCACTTGGCAGATGTAAAAATCAAGGTGTAGAATGAACAAACGGGTGAATTGAAATACTTAAGTTCAGCCATCAGGTCAAAGAAGAGCCAGGCTCAAGGCCCTGGCCTCTTAGCCCCAGGTCCCAAGTTCAGCTCCTGGTATGTGACCTTATTTTGCCCACCTGGCCAGACAGTAGAGAGGTTTTACCAGTTATGCCACTCTTTTTGCGGGCCATGCTCCCTGTAGCTGACATTGCCCTAGACCCTAGGAGACAGAGGTAAAGCCTAGTCCCTTCCTTGTAGCTTCACAAGTCTCCTACTGGTAACGCAATTACCCATTTCGTGCTTTTAGACGTAGGCTCGGAGGGTTCGGGACACGTGCCCCATGTGGCACATCCTGCAATTAAGACTCCAGAGCCTGAGCTCTTTCCATGACAACAACACTGCCTCTGGGTTAGCTTCTTCCATCCACACCCTCCCTCCTGGCCCAAGACTTCATGGGGGTCCTGGTCCCAGTGGCAGAACCCAAGGACAGCAGTGGTACTAAGTGTCCTTGAAGAAAGGTCAGGCTCCTCAGAAGACATCCACCTAAGAAGTAGAAAATGGTGAATGCCAGTAGGAAAAAGAGGGGACTTGCGATGAGCTTACTCAGGTCATCTCCGGAGTCACCCTCCAATAACTGGAGGGACATTTAAAGGACTAGAGGCTCTGCAACTGTGATAAAGGCCAGAGTGGGAGATATACTATGCTATCAGTGGCCCCGGACAACACTTTTATCTTTCCAGGCTGGTGAAGTCGGGGTTTAGATATGTGTTATTTTGCTTAATCTTCACACACAATCCCCATTTTGCAGATGAGAGAATGGCCTGAGAAAGTTACAGCAAACTTGCCCATGGTGCCACAGCTTGCCAAGGACAGAGCCTAGGCTTACCCTGGTTCTGACTCCAGTCCCCATGCTCTCAATGACCACATGTGTCACTTCTCACCATCTCCCAAGATCTCCTGCGGGGCCTCACATCCTCCCCGCACAGCACACAGACAGTGGGCACGCTGAGCGAAGCGGCAGCCATTTTATTAGAGTCAGGTGGGGACAGGTGTTTGGATTCTAGCTTCAGCTGATAAGGAGAACAGGGCAGGAAGACCAAGCGTAGACCAGGCATCACTCGCAAAGATTATCTCCTCAAGGGGAGCAGTTTGCAAATGTCTCCTAGAATATTATCCATCGCCGTGGACACTGTATAGTTAACACATTCATCACTGAGGAGGATGGAACCCTGGGAGAGAGTAGGATGAGGAGGGACAGGACCTGAGCCCACAGCAGGGCGACCCTGTCTCCCCAGGATCACCTCACACCTCACACCTCACCCTCAGTGATTCAGCTGCATCCCCAGCAAGAACCTCTGGCCCACAGACCCACCAGTGGAGAGGGGGCTGCCATCAGGCCGGCCAGGAGGAGGACGGCTGCCTAAGCGCCTGTGCACAGGTGTCAGGATGGAGACAGAGCAACGAGCCGAGCCGTGCCAGGGAGGGGAGGAGAGGACAAGGGTTCTGCAGGGCGTAGCAGGGGCTGGTCCTGAGGGAGGAGCAAGGTAGCAGAGGCGGGGTTTGTGTCACGTCTCCTGCACCTGAGCCCCTTCTGTCAGGTGTATTGGGTGTACGGAATGTGCATGTAAACAGCCCCATGTGCCCTGTGTGCTTATATTAGTGCAAGAAACTCTGCTTTATGGGAAAACGTCTCGCTATGCAGTATCAACACTTTGAGGAAAATAGGGTAAAAGACAGACTACCTATCTGGTAGCATGAGGTATGACAAGAACAACAACGAAAGAAAGATATTTCCTCAGAAGATAACATTACTAGCACAGCTGAGCAGCTGCATGTAGCTAGAAGCTGCCTCAGGCCCCCAAACACCTGAGTGGACTTCTGGCCTGTAGGCACTGAGACAATGTCAGTGGAAGTGGGGCTCTTAGCCAGAGGAATAGCCATCAACGTGGGCACACGAGGAAGGAAGTGGCCACAAGCCAGAAACCTTACAAAGCCAAGGGAGTCCCTTCCTGGGAGAAGAGTCTAAAGGCAGGGGCTCATTTTCAATATTCCTAAAATAGCTCTGACAGGACTCCTAGTGCGTGTGAGCTGAATTCTTCCTTTCCTGACAAAGATTAAAATTCTACTCCTCCAGTGCTAACTCCCCTCACCAAGAAAAAATCACAAGTCAACACACTTGGTGTGTTGCATTGATAAGAGTCCGCTGTTGTGTGGGAGCTAACTGGCACGCTGTAGACATATTCGGTAGCAGAAGAGGCTGGCTGTGCAGGTGGACTGTGGTTGCATAACATACGTGCCGTAGGGTGGAGCAAAGGTTTACGTGTTTCATTGTTTATAGCTCTTGTCTCTCACATATCCCATGACTGCACGGTCTATTACCGTGTGGCACATTGCAATATGCTGCATGTGTGTCGTCATGGTGGCGGATGGGGAGAGTAAATTACCATGAGTTTCAGAGGCTTGAGCCTGTCCAGAAATCCCAACTCATTGTAGCAATCCTGGAGTTTTTCTATGTCTGCTTTTTCCCGTTCAGTAGTGCCAACTGTTTCAAGGGCTAGGTCCAACAGTGTCCTGCTTTCCGAGGACCACAGTGCTAACCACTCTGTAAAATATAGGGCAAGCTTCCGCTGTAAGCACAGACAGAAAACACTTCATCAAAGGAAGCACCGGGGTAGGAGGTTCGCGTTTCCCCACCACTTGGTAGTAACTCACATATCCAATGCTTCCAGACTCACCTCCCACTGAGATCCACCCTCTCCCAGGACTGTTATATCCCGGACAGAAAACATTCTCTATGAGGCACTCCCAGCAGAAGGGAGCAGCTAGAGGGGCTAGGACTGGAGACCCCTCTGCCCTTGACCACTGCCCCCAGGCACACCAGCCTACCCGCTTCTTCCCTTCCAATAAGCACCGCTACCCCCAACTAACTATCCCTCACAGTGTGCACAGCTAATGACCTCCCCCTGCATTCAAAGCCTGAAAGCCTCAGGGGGTTTCTGCAGGACTCCTGGGCGCTGATCTGCCAGCTGCTCTCTAAATCTGTCCCTAGAAGCTGCCTGGAGATGACTACGGAAGGATGCAGTGAGACGGCATGGGGCAAGGGTCAGGAAGACCATCTGTACCCTCCTTCCTACCCTCACCCGTCTCAAAGGTCAGCTCTCTGGTCACCAGCAAGGCCAGCACAAGCAGTGTTCCCTTCATCGTGTCAGCGCTGGGATGCTCTGCTCAGGGCAGGGTTTCTGCTGCTTTATAAACCACTAGCTCCCTGAGCCTAGCCCAGCCCACACCCCTCCCGGGAGCTCCACAGGCCTGTGGGCAGGCACCTGGTGCAGGTGGCTTCCTCAGCCCTTGCGGGTGTTTAGTGTGGGAATCCCTTCCTACTCCGAGAGCTGAGCTCCTGGAGGAGACGTGGTGCTATCTTTGCCAAAGAACAGCTGGAGCTGACGTTTCTAAGGGGCTGCATTCTGAGCAAAATGCTCTGTTGACCCAGCCCCAGCCATCATCTGTTTTCCTGGTCATCCTTCCCCCCCAGCCTATCCGGGCTCCAAAGGCAGTACTCTCCCGAACTGTGGAGAGGAAAGCACAGGAGAGTCAAGGGCAGGTCTACACCACTACAGGGAGACAAAAGGTCATCCAGAATCCTTACCTTTCCCCAAGGTTAAGTCCTGGAGATAAGAATGAGGAGCTGGGGGCTTCCCTGGTGGCGCAGTGGTTGAGAGTCCGCCTGCCGATGCAGGGGACACGGGTTCGTGCCCCGGTCCGGGAAGATCCCACGTGCCGCGGAGCGGCTGGGCCCGTGAGCCATGGCCACTGAGCCTGCGCGTCCGGAGCCTGTGCTCCGCAACGGGAGAGGCCACAACAGTGAGAGGCCCGCGTACCGCAAAAAAAAAAAGAATGAGGAGCTGGACCTTACCGAAGCCCCCTAAATATCTTAACTGCTGCAGTCTCTGGACTGGGCCCCGAGGACTGGTGGACACCAGCCTTGGGCTCTGAATCACTCCCTACCAGGGAATTCACAGGACTTGCAGCCATGTGGGTTTTCCCAGGGGCCGGTAGTTCTGTAATTTTTTATCGTGCCGCCAGCTTTGCTCAGATCCTTAAGGGAGCAAGTTCCTGGGCACGTTCTTGACTCCCAGTGGCTCCAGGCTTGCCCCCTCTCCTGGCTGTCTTGCCCTCCTCCGTCAGTGCATCTGGTCCCAAGAGGTGCTTGGACTGCATAGCCTATCCAGAAGCATCAGTAAACAGCTGTGGGTTTGTGGGGTTTGACTCCTGCATCAGAGTCTCTGAGGCCCACAGCCTTACAGGCCACTGTGGATGGGAGTCCTAAGGCCCAGAGTGCTGGGTCCACCAGAGGCGCCGTTCCATGCGCTGAAAACTCTCTCAAGAGTCAAGTTCAACCTTCCACTCTAGGAAAGCAGTTTGTTGGTGCAAACAAGATGAGGTGGTCCTTGAAAACTCTAGCAGAAGGAAGCCTGAGAAAGCTTCCAATGTCCAAATTGGAAACAGTTTGGCCAACAAAATAAGTAACAGAATATTAGATGATAACCCAAAGTATAAAGTAATATGTGTGAGTCCGTACTGTTATAAATAAATGATTAAATAAATAAATGGGGGAGAAGAGACAAACATTCCTTACAGAAACATTCCGAATCATATATGTAGATTATCCCCTCCAGGAGGGGGAACTTACTGCCCTGACCTCCCTGAGAGTGGGCTAGACTCAGTAACTCATTTCCAAAGGAAACAGTAGGGGAAGGGGAAAACAGTGCAGAAACATGGCGAACACAACATTAATCAAGTAATCAAGGCTGTATACCCAGTGGTAAGACATACTGCTGCCATATATACCCTGCTGTAAGGTGATGGGAAGGCACCTCACCTCTGTGGTGTTCTCCTCAAAACCCAAAGTCTGTACCCCCATCTACATTATGAGAAAAACAGCAGACAAACTCAGCTTGGGGATCATTCTACAATACCTGGCCAGTCCTCCTCAAGACTGCCAAGGCCATGACAGACAAGGAAAGAATGAGTCACTCCACAGAGCAGAGAAGACTGGGGAGGCAAGACAATGAATGCAGTGTGCATAGGTTGTATATTGGATCCTGGAACCCGAAGAGGACATTAGTGGACAACCTGGTGACATCCAAATAAAGAGTAGGGTTTAGTTACCAGTAATGTTCCAATGTTGTTTCTCAGTTTTAACAAATCTTTGCAACTCTTCTATAAATCTAAAATTATCCCAAATTAAAATTTTATTTGAAAAAAACTTGCATTAGGAAAGGACAACATCTGCTGCCACTCCTCTCTTGACCCTGTTCAGCACTTTGCTCTGACCTCACCGAATGTCCCCACCATCCGGGGACGTCTCAGATGGTCTTGTGGCATCCTCAGAAGGGCACTGGGCTGGACCCATAGCAGCGACCTGTGTTACTTCAGCACTCCAAGCTACTGGCTTCCTCATCTCACAGAGCTAGGGAGGGGATGGAAGGCAGTGTCTTCTGAAGGACAGGAGGCGTGTGACCCGTGCCCAGGTGTCCCACCACACTGAAGTCCCGTCCCACATACACATAGGGCAAGCACGTGCAGCCTGGCCCATATGGTGTTCACGTTCCTGCCCAGGAACTCTGAGGCACATCTGCAGCCACCTGAGCCCCTCATGGGGTGACCTTCAGAGGTATGGCCCCCAGGCATCAGTAGCCATGGCAAGGGAGGGCTCCACGGAGACCAGCTGACAGCTGGAACTCAATACTTGGTGTCTCCTTGCCAAGAGCAATTACCAGATGTGAATCCTATCTGGCATAAGGTTCTGATTGTGGTCACACAACTTGTGTCCCAACTTCAACTCTGGGCTTCAGCAAACCTTATTCTGCCAAAGGTGACTCAGAGAAAAGGCCAGCCAGGGGCCTCCAACAAAAAGTTACTTAATTCTGACTTATCAAAATATTATAAACCTTCACCTTCCTTAATTAATCCCAGGCAATATTCATAAGCACATCTACAGCAAATAGAAGTAAAAATATTCTTGTTTATCAACTCCAGAGAAATGGAATATTCCTTCCATTATTCTAACAAACACCGTGAAACACCCACTGAGTGTTGGGCCCTGTCCTAGTCCTGGGGATGCAGCAGCACACGCAAAGCTCTCGCTCTCCTGCAGCTCTTTATACATCGAAGAGGGAGTGAAGGACAATCAACCAATGGTAAGAAGCGCTGTGGAGGAAGATGAAGCAGGGGGAAAAAAGAGAGTGCCATGGGGGCAGGAGGGGGCCAGCGCCTTTGACGTCAGGGGTCAAGAGTATGGGGAGGACTTCCCTGGTGGTGCAGTGGTTAAGAATCCACCTGCCGATGCAGGGGACGTGGGTTTGAGCCCTGGTCTGGGAAGATCTTACATGCCAAGGAGCAACTAAGCCCGTGCGCCACAACTACTGAGCCTGTGCGCCACAACTACTGAGCCTGCGTGCCTAGAGCCCGCGCTCCACAACAAGAGAAGCCACCGCAATGAGAAGACTGCACACCGCAACGAAGAGTAGCCCCTGCTCACCTCAACTACAGAAAGCCCGCGCACAGCAACAAAGACCCAATGCAACCAAAAATAAATAAATAAACGTATTAAAAGAAAAAAAACCAGTATGGAGAAATTTCTCTGACGCGTGATATTTGAACAGACCTGAGAAATGAGGCAACGAAGCAGGCAGCCACTTGGAGGAAGAGCATTTCGGGTAGGGAGTGCAGCACATGCAAAAGCCCTGCTACAGAAGCATACTCGGTCTGGTCAAGAAGCAGAAAGGAGGTCACTGAGGGAGGAAAGAAAGGCAGGGATAAGTTCACAGAGGCAGCAGGGGTGCGGGACTGGTTGTGCGAATGGCCCAGGACGGTGGGCCTAGAAGGGGCTTGGCTTTTCCTGAAGTCGGAGCTCTGGAGAGGTGACGGGGGAACAGCACAGAGACACTCAAGAGAAGAAGCAGGTTGGGGAAAATATTCCTGTGTAGATTGAGGTGCTGTTGCAACCCCATGGCCTTAGAACTTAGTTATACTTTAAACTCTAAGCCTCTACAAAAAACCAAAAGACAAAGTAACCCAGTGACACAATCCGAAAAAGGCCATATCCTGGGGTACAGAGCAGGTTGGGGAAAGGGGGAAACCAGATCTCTTGGAACAAATGGAAAGCATCACTAAATACCCCGATTAATGTAATGAGGCTAATGTCATGACATCAGAATCCAACTACTCAAGGTCATAGACAAAAAAATCTAAGCCAAATATTAACAAGTATATGAAATTACGTATCAAAAAGATACTATATGTTGGGACTTCCCTGGTGGCACAGTGGATAAGACTTCACGCTCCCAATGCACGGGGCCTGGGTTCGATCCCTGGTCAGGGAACTAGATCCCACATGCATGCCGCAACTAAGAGTTCACATGCCACAACTAAGAAGACTGCCTGCCGCAACTAAGACTTGGTGCAACCAAATAAATAAATAAATATTTTTTAAAAAACATTAAGACTAAAAAAAAGGATACTATATGTTGATTAACAAGGATTTATACAAGAAATGCAAGGTAAGTTTAATATTAGAAAAAACATTTGATGTAACTTATCACATCAACAGAACTAAGGGGGAAAAGTATATGTTTATTTCAATAAATGCAGAAAATATGTGTTATAAAATTCATCATCTTTTCTTGAATTAAAAAAACTCTTAGACTTCCCTGACGGTCCAGTGGTTAGACTCCATGCTTCCAATGCAGGGGGCGCGGGTTCGATCCCTGGTCGGGGAACTGAGATCCTACATGCTGCATGGTACCACCAAAAATATAAATAAATAAAATAATTAAAAATTAAAAACCCTTAGAAAGTAGAAACAAAAGAATATATCCTTAATCTAATAACAAGTGTCTACCAAAAAAAATTCCCACAGTAAACTTCGTATTTAATGGTGAAATACCAAACGTTATCCTTTTGAATCTGGATAAAGGGTAGCCAGAAATACTTTATAATATTTTTGTAACTTTCTTGTAAGCCTGAAATTATGCCAAAACAAACAATAATAATATAAGATAAAAAGCTGTCAAAAACAAAATAAAACAAAGCAAAAACCTTCCCTTGGGTCTAGATAGAGGATAAGGATGCCTACTTTTACCACTGCTATTCAACACTGTACTAGAGATTCTATAAATGCAGTAAAGCAAGAGAAGAATAATCTATGTAGATGGAAAAGGAAGAAATGAACAGGTATTAGATACAGTTATATAAGTCCAAAAGCACCTACAGATAAAATATTAGAGAGTCTTTTAAGTGCTGCATGTAAGTCAGTATAGAATAATTAAAATGTTCTATATGGCAGCACAAACATCTAGAAAATTACATTGTCAAAGGAGATAACATTCACAACAGCATTAAAAATAACAGATGCCTAGGATAAATGAACTGATAAATGAATAAGAGATACAGATAGAGAGATAGATAT